GGGTCACCACAACATGAGGAACTTTATTTAGGGGTCACGGCATTAGAAAGGTTGAGAACCACTGTAGTAGAGAAACAGGAACATGTGGCACACAGGAAAAGGAGAATGAATAGGATCTGCTGGGTAAGTGATATCCTCTTCCTCAGGTTTGCCAAGTGTTTCTGTTCTGCCTGGTGTCTCTTCTTTTTCCTAGATGAAATAGACACTTGCAGCAAACATTCTGTTAAGCTTGATGTTCATGTAGAGCTAGTTGTGGCTGCCAGTCTGCTAACGAGCAAAATTCAAAGTGTTGGATTTAGCCTCTATAGACCTAAACGGTTCCAGCCCAGCTCACCTGTCTGAAGATATCTCCCTCTATGAACCATCACTGAGGTTAAGATCTTCTGGGGAGGCCCTGCTCTTGGTCCCACCTCCTTTGCAAGTGTGATTGGTGTGGATGAAAGATAGGGACTTCTCAGTGGTGGCTCCTTGGAACTCTCTCCCCACTGAGATTAGATCAGCCCCCTCCCTCTTGGCCTTCAGAAAGAAAACAAAGACATGGTTGTGGGACCAAACCTTTGGCCAGTAAAGTAATGCAGTATAAGAGTAATTAGGGAATATGTGCAATCGACAGTTTGGAATGGCTACGGTTTACAATTTTGGATCATGTGATTTTACTGTTTATACTAGGATGTTTTAATTCTATATTTTAATGTTGCTTATGTCTTATGTTTAATGTTCTTAGTTGATTTTAACTCATAGTTATATGTTATTGTTTAGATATTATGAATTTTTACGTGTATATCTGGCACTGAACTTTGCTGTTAGTATGTTGTAAACCGCTTTGAGTCCCCCCAGGGGTGAGAAAAGTGGTGTATAAATACAGTAAACAAACAAATAAATAGTTCAACTCCTGTTCTGAAAAATCTCTTAACTGAAAACTCCTTAAGTCCAATCGTTTCATTTCCTTGACTAGCCGAATGGTAAGTAATACAGGCACTTAAAGCCATGAGAGTAGCAATACCTAAAGGAAATGTTGGTATGTTAAATATGTATGTTGATCTTATGTATAGGTTTTTACAAGAGAATGCATGAGCCATTACCTGAGAGTGTTCAACTTTCTGTGGAGGGCAAAACGAATGGAATATATACTGACAGATATTTGGAAAGGACATATGTGCAATGCAAAGCTTCTCAAAAATATGCCAGGTAAGGGAGTACCCCCAAGACGTATTTACATTCACTGTGGTTTCCGAGCCCATATCTGTATAGTTGATTTTCTATGCTGGAGAAACCTTTTGCCATTGTTAGAGCTAGTGTGTTGTGGTTCTTGAGTAAATCACAATTCTTTTTCATGTTGATTCAGCCATAAATCCTATGACATTGAATGATGCTTATTCTTTGCGAATGGTGTATTTTGGAATTATAGCTCAGGCTGAAAAGTTCCCAGTTAGACTTGCCCCTTGACAATGAAAAGCTTAAGTGGATTTGAGAAAGCCTTGTATGTCAGAACCCTTTCCTCCCCTTTTAAATTGGGAATAATTGGGAATGGCAATACCTTTTGTATGATTTGGAAATACATTGGACACTTAAAGCATGCTAGAGAATCATAAATATGGCGATGGTAGCAATAATTCTGGTAATTCTGTTGCTGTTCTCTGTGATGCTCATCATTTCTTCTTTGCTGGTAGAATTTTTTAGATGTCTGAAAATCACCAATAGGTGAATTTCAGCTCACTGGCAAGACAAGAATTTGAGAACTGGATTTATGCATTGATTATCCCCCCCCCCCTGAAATTTAATAAAAGGTTTTGATGAGGATACTTCTTTCAGTGTAAGAGGAGTTATATAAAATGTACATAGTTAGGATCAGAGAACATTTTGAAACCGCCTTGAGGGGGCAATAGAGCATTACATTTGTTATTGACCATTACATTTTCTAAGTGCTGAATCTCATGTGTATAGCTGGGATGCCTAAAGCTAGTTTTCTTAGCCAGTTTGGCAAATTATAGTGCGTCAAGCAGTATTTGAAGCACAGTCTTGGAACACAGATACCACCTCCCTGGATTAGACAAGCCTCTGCAATCTCTGTGGGAGTGTCGCCCAATTTTGTCAGTTATGGAGGTGAGACTGATCTGTGGTAAGACTTTCTTTCAAATAGAAAGTACTTCCAATATTTGAAAAATATCATCTTGTGCATTGTAATAAGGTTGCTTTCCACAGCCTATAATTTTAATATGGAATATTATTGTCCAGGGTGCCTTTGGATGGCACTCATTTCAATATGCATGTTCAATTGCAGAAATCAATAGTATTAGCAGGACGCTTAGTAAACCTTATGTTATTGGTATGATGAAACCTCTCTAGGTTTCATCATACCAATGGCCCTGTAATTCCAATCCTTGGCCTATTGTCACTTGCCTCCTTTCCCCTCAAAATCACTCCCTAGTGTGAGTACTTGGGCCTTAAGATGACACTTCTGTGGGACCATGGCTGTGTTGTCCACTAGATACACAGTGCTTGGTGTGACCAGACTCTGGATGAAAACTTAACTGCAACATCCAGACACAGTTTTATAACACAATAACACAATATAACACAAGTAAAAGTATAGTAATGTACAATTAGTTCACCCATTAACCATTGAACTATTTAATCATGCATAGCTCCCCCAAAACCCTACTCAGTTCATCCCCTCTGGTTGAACCTCCTATATCTTTTCCATATATCAAATATTTTCCATTGTTGGCCTTCCTTTCACAGCCTTCCCTGATCTGTAAGTAGCTACCTCTAATCTGGCCTGCTCTGTTCCTCCCTTTACTAGCAAATGATGAAAAAATAAGATAAATTTTGGGTTGTGACTAAGAATTTCCCTCTAAGATTTCAAAAGCTTTAACATTTTAAAAAATACAAATATGGCTCTGAAGCAATTTTTTACTTCAGTGATCTTTGGCCATGTCAGTGGAATTTATTTCAGTTCTCAACCTTGACTAGTGCCTTTTAACCTGGAACTTCAGCATTGAAAAATAGGAAATGGATTTGGAGCTGAGTGCATTCAGATTCACTACTTTGTTCTGCTTCTACACTGCTCTGCATTCTTTTCAGTGTATTTTATGCCCTATATGATTCCACTTATACTAGATTTAGGAAGACTTTCTGACAGATTTTATATATGTTAATATGAAATTACAGGCCTATCAACCCATTAATAAATGTTTGGCCTTTGTTTGTCACAGGTAGGTTGTGATAAACAGGTGAGTTTAGTAGCATTCTGTACAAACAGGAGCCTTGGCATGGCCTTATCTCCTCCTGAAGCTTGTTCCGCACTTGAGTACCCTTGACTAACAGTGCCTTATCTCCTTTTCCCACTAAGTTTGGCCTAAGCATTTTCCCGGAGCGCTCCCAAAAGAGCATTGTAATATCTGCAGATCATGCACTGGAAAGTCAGGCTCTGCCTTGTAGTGCTGAACATAAGTCGCCACTGGATGGGATACCACCGTTATGGTAGTCACGTATTCCAGAGCTTGGATGGTGGTCTCAGATGTCCATGAATATTCCTGCTTGAACATGGGCTTAAGTATTAAATTTGTTGAGAAAGATTGAAAAGATAATAAATGATAGATATGTTATACAAACCTTTTGACAAGAAGATAGGTTAAAGGAGCAAGTTTTGAAATATAATAATAATAATAATAATAATAATAATAATAATAATAATTTATATTCTGCTTTATCTCCCCGAGGAGACTTGGGGCGGATTACAGAACAAACATTCAATGCCGTTACATAGTTAACAAGGACAGAAAATACATAAACATAGATAAAGACTTCCCCATCTTTTCCCATTTCCGGCATCAGGAGTGTGCTGTCGCTCCATCTTCCATGCAGAGGAGCTTTTGTCATCCATAGTCGCCCTCCCAATCAAATCGCCAACATATCCTTATGGGCGCCTTTTACTACTTCCCCGCTTTTAAAGCAGTACCTATTTATCTACTCACATTTCTGTTTTCAATCTGCTAGGTGGGCAGAAGCTGGGGCTGATGGCAGGCGTCACCCTGACCTGGGTTGAACTGCCAACCTTTCAATTGGCAGGATTTTCTGCAGCTTAGCAGTTTAACCCACTGTGCTAAATGCAGAGCTAGGGATCTATCCCCATTAACACAGGGCTGGGATTTGTGTGGCTCTCCAGATTCATTGGACTGAATATCACATCAGCTCTAACTGGTGGAGCCAGTAGGGAGACAGGCTGAGTTACAGTTCAGCAGCATTTGGAGGGCCATATGATCCCAGTCCAGTACTAGGCCTACTGTACCAGTGGTTGCATAATTTTTATAGTTAGTATTTGAAGCCTAGCTTTTATCCAGAGTTGCATTAAACCGAAACCAGCAGTTTTAATCAGTATTTAATGCACTTTATAACAAATTAAACCTAATTTGGAAACATATTGTATAGGACTAGAGATTTTATTTAGGTTTGTTCTACATAATCTTTAATAATTAGGAAATAACTAGGATAAATGCTCTGAAATTGGTTTTATTCCACTCATTTAATGAACTTCACTTTGTAGAACTTTCTCTTGGAAAATTGGAATCATTGATAACTTTTTCTGAATGTTTCTTGTGAGCAATTGGAATGAAACATTTTTCATAGCTTCCTTAGATATTCGGGTTTTATGTAATTTGGCTTCATACAGATATTTCTTTCAGTTTGTTCATTTTTTTTTTGCTTCATTTATTCTGAATCTATCTTCCCCTATAATCCAATAAAAATTAGGCAGTGCCAGTGTGCCTTATCCCAAAAGCTGGGAGAAATCCATTTTTCCACAGGGCTTTGAAAATGCTTCTGAAGAAACAAGAGATCCTTTACTATAATGTCAAGCAATGGTGTTTTATGTAGAAAACTTAAGTGTCCTGAGGATCCATTTGTTACCTATTGGGTCTAATGCTTCTGCCTTTCTAGTAACCCATACTACTAACCTTGGATTATTATTTTGTTTTTGTTTCATCCTAGTTTATATTAGATAGAATTTATATGAGAGGAATATATTGAGTTTAGTCCTGTCCAGCTATACATAAACATTTGTGAAGGTGGTCAGGGACTGACAAGTTAATTGCCCAAATACTATACTGTATATACTCGGCTTATATTTGGGTTGGCTTATACTCGAGTTTATACGGTATTTCTTTTCTCCTTTCTTCATAACTCCATTAATCTGTTTTCATTATGTCCAACTCCTTTCAAAGAAGGGAGAAAGATAGCAGTTATACTGTAGTTGTTATTTTAAAAAATTCTGAGTGGTCAGTCATTTTCTTTCTAATTTTTAATCTACATATTCTTTGGCTTTCTTACAGAGCTTTCTGGGGTACTGCATCAGTGTCACGTTCTGGCATCAGAAATGGTCCATTTCATTCATCAAATGCAGTATTACATTACATTTGAGGTACTCTTTAACCATCTGTTTTGTTTGTTTGTTTAAAAAGGAAGGTTGTTTTCGAATGACCTGTGATTAATTATGTCATAGACATGCAAGAGCTGCCTAAAGCCACATACAACTCGATCTTCATTTTTCATAGGTGCTTGAATGTTCGTGGGATGAACTGTGGAATAAAGTTCAGCAAGCTCAGGACTTGGATCACATCATTGCTGCTCATGAAGTTTTCTTAGACACAATTATATCCCGCTGTTTGCTAGACACTGACTCAAGGGTAAGAATTTCCCTTTTCAAAGAAATATTACCTTTGCAGCAACTTATTTATATTTATCTTAGCATCGTAATACCCATCCTGATGTGTAGTGTAATACTTGGAAAACTTACTCAGTTCTCAGAATGTTAGAATTAGTGTCTTAGTAATTGAACTCTGATGATGGTGAGTTGAATACATGCTCTGAAATGGCATATCTGAGTGTCCTTCTTGACTGTGAAAATCTTACCATATATACTTGAGTGTAAGCTGAGTTTATAAGCCCGTTCCTGGGGCTGAAAAAGCCCCTCTCGGCTTATATTCGGGTGAGGGAGGGAGAAAAGGAGGTGGGTGTTGCTGCAAACGCCATCGCTGTTTGCAGTCCTCATCGTTGTGGCTGAATGAAAGCGGGCATCTCCCCGAGGCAACAAGGCTGCATTTGAGGATGCTTCACCACCAGCAGATGTGCTAAGGGAGATGTGTCCAGTCCCCCCCACTCACTAGCTTCCTCCTTGCCATCTGGCAGCACAATTTAGCCGGGGGAAAGAAGCACTGCTCCTTGTAGGCCACAGCGAGTTCCAGGAGCTTCCCTGAGCTGGAAGAAGGAGATGTTGCCCCTAGGAGGCCCTTGCCACTGCCGTAATGTGGCAGCAAGGGCCAGAACCCTCTCTGAGCTGGGAGGGGGAAAAGAAGTAAGAAAAAGGAGGAGAGGAAGAAAAAAGAAAACAAGAAAGAGAGGAAGGAACAATAAGAAGCAGGAGGAGGAGGAATAGAGGAAGGAGAAAGAGGAGGGGAAAAGAAGGAACTAAAAAGGAGGAGAGGAAGAAAAATGAAGAGGAGGAGTTTGGTGAGGAGGGGGAGTTGGGCACTTTGCCCTCAGCTTTGCCCTCAGTGAGGCATAAGCTCCTCTTCCTTGCTCTCCCTCAAGTGTGGCCTTGTTGCATTAAGGCATCTCCTGGCCCTCACCGCCGCTGTGATCCTGGCTCAGTCAAAGGGGAGGAGGAGGAGGAGGAGGAAGAGGAGGGAACACGATGATCAGAGAGGGAAGGAAGGAAGGAAAGTAAAAAAAAAGAGTTTCCATGGGGAAAAGTGGAGGCCTTTGAACCCACTCTACTGCCCAGCCCACACATTCATTTGGGGAGTAACTTTGGGGCTTGCTTTGGGCTCCCACTTCAGGCAGGCCTCTGTGGGGTTGCTGCTTCAACTTCTCCTAAGCCACGCCTCGAGGGATGAATGCCTCTCCGCTTCCAACCCAGAGCCAGCCCGGGGCCACCTTTTTGCTCTTCTCCTTCTTCCCCATCTATTCCTCTTTTTTCTTCTTCTCATCTTTCTTCTATTCTTCCTCCTCCTGCTTCTTTTTCTTCCTTCCTCTCCTTCTCCTCTTCCTTTTTCTTCCTCTCCTCTTTTTCATCCTTCTCTTCCCCCTTCTTCCTAATGTTCAGGTGGAATCTCTTTTCCTACAGTTTGAAGCCATTGTTCCGTGTCCTAGTCGCCAGGGCAGCAGAAAACAAGCCTGCTCCCTCCTCCCTATAACTTCCCCTCACACATTAATACATGGCCCTCATCATGTCTTCTGTCAGCCTTCTCTTCTGAAGGCTAAACATGCCCAGCTCTTAAAGCTGCTTCTCATAGCGCTTGTTCTCTAGACCCTTGATCCTTTGAGTCGCCCTCCTCTGGACACATTCCATCTTATAGTCAACATCTCCCTTAAATTGCAGTGCCCACAATTGGACACAGTATTCCAGGTGTGGTCTGACCAAGGCAGAATAGAGGGGTAACATGGATCTAGACACTAGACTCCTGTTTATGCAGGCCAAAATCCCATTGGCGTTTTTTAGCTGCCGCATGACATTTTTGGCTCATGTTTAACTTGTTGTCCATGAGGACTCCTCCTGTTTCTTTTTCTTCCTTTTGCTTCCTTCCTCTGCTCCTCCTTTTTCTTCATTCTTTTCCTCCTATTCTTTCTCCCTCTTCCTTTTTCTTCCTCTCCTTCTCCTCATTCCTCTATCCCCCCCCCCCCCCCCGTATTTTAGAAATTTACCAGTAATGGCTGCATTTCCCACCCTAGGCTTACGCTTGAGTCAATAAGTTTTCCCAGTTTTTTTGTGGTAAAATTAGGTGCCTCGTCTTATATTCCGGTTGGCTTGTACTCAAGTATATACGGTACTTCAATTGTAGGGTTTACTTTGTCTTTTTGTCTTCCAACTTTTTGTAGACACTTCTCAACCAGCTTCGAGCTGTCTTTGATCAGATTCTTGAGTTTCAGAATACCCAAGATTCAATGTACCGAGCTGCCTTGGAGGAATTACAGTTACGACTGCAGTTTGAAGAAAGGAAAAAAGAACGAGAACATGAGGTACTAGAAGCTTTCAGTAACACTTTAAAGAGAAATAGCTGTTGGAATGCATTAAGATGCTTCTATTTTCAGTGAGGAGAAAAAAATACAATATTCTTTTCATCTCAAATGATTGGAGTCATTTGGGAGGAAATGAAGATAGTTTTTTTTCATTACTCATTGAAAACTGTGTAAAGTAGAAACATAGGGAGCTGTCGTAAGCAAGTGTGTTTAGAAATGTAGGCCCCAGTGTGGCTTAATCCTAGGAAAGTATGGCATCACATTTGGAGTCACATGCTCTTCTGAAGTAAACCTCTGTTAGCAGTTTACTGGAAGTTTAATGTAGAATGAGTGAAAACCATTTAGAGGCCTCTTGGTGCTTTCACATGAAGAAAACATTTTGCAAACTGAATTTTGACTTTGTTATTGCAACACTGTTTATTAAATAATTTCCCAGGATTAACTTTTTAGCCTGGCTGGTTAAGAAATCACCTTGTCTTACATGTTTTACGTGTAACAAAAATGGGGCGGGGTTGGGGGGCTGGAATGGATTAATAGCATTTCAGTGGGGAAATTCATTTTGACATAAGAATGATTTGAAATAAGAGCTCAGTCATGGAATGAATTAAACTCTTAACTCAAGATATCACAGTATGTACTTGATCATAGCTCATGACATATTTAAAAATCTGTATACTTCAGGGTGAATGGGGAGTGACAGCCTTAGAACAGGAGGAAGAGATGAAAAGGATTAAAGAATTTCAAGACTCAATACCAAAAATGTGTTCGCAGCTGCGGCTACTTACTCATTTCTACCAGGTATGATTTACACACATTATCTAATATTTTCAATAATGTTACTCAAGAAACTATCAGAAAGCAAAGGTGTCACTATGTCAGCTACCCATGTGGAAAATTCTGGAACATTTCAGATTTCTGGATAAGGTATACTGAACCTGTACCTTTAATAGGCCCAACTGGATCAAAACAGCTTTTGGAGGAGGTTTTCAACTCCTGTCTCTTCACCAAGTTAAAAAGGAGTGAGGATGGGTGTGGAGTGGGAAAAAGCTAATTTAAAGTCATGAAATCTTCCTAATCACAGTCTTGGGATAGAGGAAGAGATGTGATATTAAATGATTCAGCTTCTGGAAAGTCTCATGAAGGTTTCAGGCTATAACTACGGCTAGTAACAGAACACATACTAGTCTTTCTCTTCCCTCAGTTTTTGAAAACGGAATCCAGTAGCTAGTGAATGTAATGCAGTGGTTCTCAACCTGTGGTCCATGGACCACTAGAGGTCCACAAGAATAAAAATATGGTCCGCAGCCGCACCATTACTACACCGTTGCCTTGAAACCATGTGGCAATGAGAGCGACTGGTCTCGCGAAACCCTCTTATAGTGCCAAATCAATGGGGATGTTGGGAGGGGAGAGGCTGACTACCCACTAAAGAGTACTACTACCACATCAGCTCTAGATTATTAAATATGATTTTCTGTGGGTGAACAGATGGTGACTATTGGATGGCATATGTTCTGTATCAAAAAGTAGAGCTGATGTGGTCTATCCAATACAATTTTCTGAATCAGCACCCCAAATAAACAAACTGAATCTAAAATTGACCAAAAACAGATTCGTAACCCTTTTGGTACTATGTTAGGGAATGGTCACTGATCAAGTGGTCCCTGGTCAAAAAAGGTTAGGAACCACTGATGTAATGACATGAATATCTTCATCTTTTGTTGACCACATAGGTTCTTTGGTAGGCAGAGAATGAACATAATGTGAAATTCAGTAATACTTTAGCAGTGATTTGAAGAAGGTTTCTGACTGGCCATTGTGGAAACGCAAGCCTAAACTAGGCAGCTCCTGTTTTCTTACGATTTTCATTAGATTATTAACTGCTTGTATTTATTTAAGGCATTCTATACTCTGCTTTCAAGTCATTCCCATTTTGTATTACTTTTAAACGAATAAGGTAGTTGAGCATTTTAAGAGCTGGCCATGCTTTGCAATGGATCAATTTTCTGTCATTGTCGTTATCATAATCTTTTTTTTATATCCTGTTTTTCTCCCAAAGAGTGGCACTCAAAGCAACTTGCATATTGAAACAATTACAGTTAAAAGCATATAAAAATCCGTATTATTTATCTAGCATTTATTTTATTTATTTATGACTTATATACCACTTTTCTCACCCCTAGAGGGACTCAAAGGGTTGTACAAGTAATGGAAAATTCAATGCCAATATATATACAAACCAAAGAGTTAATAACTAAAACAGTAACATGTAACTATAAATTAAACCTTAAAATCATATTAAACATAGAACGCAAACAGACATTTAAAATTAAAATATAGAATTAAAAACATCTTAATATAGCATTAAAATCACAAAATCTAGAATCGTATTAAAACTGAATTAAATTAAAACCATATTAAAAGCATACACTCTATCCAAGATTTTGAAAACAGTAAACAATACAATTGTGGCAATAGAACACTTACAGCCTCTTTTTACTTCTAAAAACCTGTATGAATAAAAATAAGTTTTGGTATGTTGGCTTTTTTTACTTTTATGAGAATTTTCAAGGGCTGCTGTGGAATACATACAATTTGTCTATTTCTTCTTTTGCATTCACTAGTTAGTATGTGAATTCCTGTGAATTTATGCATTTCTCCTCTTTCCCCCCCAGGGCATCGTTCAGCAGTTCTTAGTGTTACTGACCACCAGTTCTGATGAAAGCCTCCGATTTCTTAGCTTTAGATTGGATTTCAATGAACACTATAAAGCTCGGGAACCCAGGCTCCGGATGTCTTTGGGCACTAGAGGGCGACATAATTCACGTATATAAACCTGTCTGCAAAGAATGTAATCAGGATCACTGAAGTTAACCATTGTTGGATGTGGCCGTCAAGGTTGGCATACTAAAACCAAATGGCATGCAATGGATGTTTGTCATTATTGCAAGCGACCTGTTTCCAGTCATGTGTTTGTGCAACACTAGTGCAGAAAGCAACAAGACTTAGTTTCTATATTTAACTATCGGTATTGCTAAATGGTTTTGTTTCCAGTTTGTTTGGTTAATTCATTAGCGAATCACAGTATTTTATTTGAGGCCCCTAAAGCACATTGCACAGTAATTTTATATTTGTCCTAAGACATTTCATCCACTTCCAGACTGTAACCTTTTCTTTAATACTAAGCAGGGCTGTAATTTTTTTTTTCAACTTGGAAACCACTTTTGTTTAACGTTTGGCCTGAAAAATGAGTTTTTTCTTTCCAGTGTTGTGATGTATCTGACTGTGCCGGGGAGAAAAATCACTTAAGAGTATACACACATAAGTGTTTTCAGCATTTTCAAAACAATGATTTATTTTTTCAGAAATTTTTTAATTACTATACAGAAACACATATTAAAACATAGCAGAAGTAACATACAACAGATTCTAAAAATAAAATTAAAACCTCAGTGCTATCAAGTAAAGAAACGTGTAAATACTGAATAGATGTGAATGAAGTATTTTGTGTTCAAATCTTATGTATTAGAAATTAATTTGGATAATGAAAACTACTTATTTCTCTTTCCTTGCCTATTTTTTCATTGTAAATATTTATATATTGCTGTCCAGATGTTAGGGGAAAACATTTTTGTAAAGAAGTCACTATATATCAAGTCATTCAATTATTCATTTGTTATATTCACAGGTAAAGGCTTAGAAAATAAACACAACTATCTTTCAAAAATATGTCTCTGTTTCTTCTTAACAGTCTGTCCTTGATAAGTGAGGCTTAAGAAACAATCCACTATCACAGGCGATCCCTCATGGCCAAGTGTGATTGTCTTCCAAGGGTAGAATCTTGGCAATGGGTCTATAAGTGACTGTAGGGAATTATTCTGGATCTGCATGGTCATTCAGAATGAGGACATAGATTTCCATAGGGAATGTGGTCACAACAAGGGTTTGTCTTCCTCTTGGCACATTTCCTCCTTTCACCCTGTATTTGTGTAATCCATAGCACTGTTGGCAACAGCTGACTGCCAGTTACAACTCTCAAGTGCCAGGGCTTCCCAGTTCTCTGTGCTTCAACCACGTTTTTAAGGTTAGCTTTAAGCCCATCTTTAAATCTTTATTGCCAACCAACAATACATTTTGGGTCCTTGAGCTGAGAGTAAAGTAACTGCTTTGAGAGATGATCGTCGGTCATTCAGATAACATGGCTAGTTCAGTGAAGTTGATGGTGGAAAATCATCACTTCAGTGCTGGTGGTCTTTGCTTCTTTCAAAACGCTGATGCTTGTCCTCCTGTCTTCCCAAGAGATTTGTAGGATTTTTCAAAGGCGATGCTAATGGAATCTTTCCAAAACTTGAGTGGTGTTTGTAGATGGTCATTATTTCACAGGCATACAATAGAGTTAAAAGAACAATAACTTTATAAACAAGATAGTAAGGTAAAGGTTTTCCCTGACATTAAGTCTAGTCGTGACCGACTCTGGGGGGTGGTGCTCATCTCCATTTCTAAGCTGAAGAGCCGGCGTTGTCCATAAATACCTCCAAGGTCATGTGGCCAGCATGACTTCATGGAACACTGTTACCTTCTTGCATATCTCTTGATCTACTCGCATTTGCATGTTTTCAAATTGCTAGGTTGGCAGAAGCTGGGCCTAACAGCGAGAGCTCATGTTGCTCCCTGGATTCGAACTGCCAACCTTTGAGTCAGCAAGTTCTGCAGCTCAGCAATTTAACCTGCTGCGGCACCAGGGGGCCCTTAGAAACAAGCTGCACAGGTATTAAAGATGTCTACTGCTTCCTGCTTCCTCCCTCCCCAATTTTTAAATTATTGTTTTGCCAAGCAGCTGAGCATTTTTCTCTCTCCCTTTCAATCTATTTCAAATTCTTGATTTTATTGATATTATTAATTAAAGCATAGAATGGCAATTAAAGAGGCATCAAAATGGGAAATCTGAATGATATTTTGATCTCAATGCGATTTACTCTTGAGTACGTCTGCCTCCAGTTCCTGGTGCAGCTACATTTTGGTACTCATGCAGTTTGACATCACTTGAACGACCATGGCTCAGCGCTAAGGAATCCTGGCAATGATAGTTTCCCACGGCCTTTATCCTTCTCTCCCCTAGAATCCTGATGTCTCACCAAAGACAATTCCCAGTATTCCACAGTATTGAACCATGACACATATGGGGTTTCAAACTGCACGTATTCCAAACTGTAGATGCACTGGGAGCTGGAGGCAGACTTAACTCAGAAGTAATTCCCCTGAAATAAAAACTTCATTCAGATTTCAATGGGGTTTACTTTTTGATGCACTTTTACTTGCCATGGCTCAATGCTATTGAATCCTAGAAGCTGTGCTTTCCCAATGTCCAGAGCCTTCGCTGCCAAAGAGTGCTGGTGTCCAAAATTCCCAGAATCCCATAGCATTGAGTCACAGCTCTTAAAGGAGAGAAAAGATCCAGACTTTGCAGCTAAGAAGGAAAGGGTTAAACCCCACTTTCCTAGTTTCAAACAGACCTCACAATCTCTGAGCATACCTACCATAGATCCAGATGAAACGTCAGGAGAGAATACTTCTGGAACATGGCCATACAGCCCGGAAAACTCACAACAACAGGTCAGTCAGGTGGTAGTTAATGAGCACAGTAGTCAGGCCTGCCCTGGAGATGGTGGCTTGGATACATCCCATGTGTAGTGGATTTCTCCTTGAGCCTCATTGAGAATGAAAGGTTGATAGCATGAAGGATCATTCTAGTGAAGCTGAAGGAGCAATCTACTCCTATCCAGGGAATAAACAGAAAAATAAACTCTCTTTCTGAATGGTAAGAGCGGTGAGCAAGGTTATATAGCAAAAATTAGGAGAGTGGGATCAGAGCAACAGAAGTAAAATTTCAGAATTCAGAGGCTCCTGCATTGAACTGGTTGGCAGGAGGGGTTATTAACTCATGTGTAGAGGATTGTTCTTTAGCCTCATGGTATCAACCTCTCAATTGCTAAGTGTTGGATTTACAGGGCCCACTATAAAAACATACAGCATTGAAGGTAAGTGTGTTCATGCAAAATGATTTTATCCTTTTCTCTGTCCTATTATTAATAGTAGTATATTTATACCTCATCTTTTTCCCAGTGGGGACTTAAGGTGGCTAACAATCCCACACTTAGTCAAGTTTTAAAAGTGCAACACAAAAGTTAAAAACCAATTATATACTAACAGTGTGGGGAAAAACAGATTAAAATATAATAAATAAACTTCATATGGTCTTTAAAACTCATTCCACCTACACCTTCGAAAAATAGAGTTCCGATTGTCTAAAGCAGATTTTGTGGGTAGATAGGGGAGAGGGAATTGTTCCCTTCTCTACTCTAGCAAAAGAAGTTCTGTCAGTTGAAAATTTTGACTGGATTTTAGTGAATGTCTTGCAGGGCACCGTCCTATTTTAGTTAATCTTCAAAATTAAATGCCTGGGTGTTTGTTTTTTCCTGGTAAACACGCATTATACTTAAAAATATGTTCATTAGGTAAATCCTGGAAACAGTTCATGTAACTTAATACCAAAATTACTATTCATTATTCATTAGCATGATTTCAACATGAACATGTTTCTTCCAGAATGGCTGGCAAATTTAAGGTGTTGTTATTTGTTCTGATTTTCAACATCTGCAGTGTCATCTTTTGGCAGTTGATTCCCTTTTTTCCAAACGCCCATGATTTCATTCTTCTTGTTACATCTGGGGCCCCTTCTACATTGCCAAATAAAATCCAGATTATCTGCTTTGAACTGGATTATATGGCAGTGTAGACTCATATGATCCAGTTCAGATAATGTGGATTATCTGCTTTGATAATCTGGATTATATGGCAGTGTAGAAGGGCTCAGGTCTCTAAAGTAGCAAGGAATTAATTTTATGTATTTTGGTTGCACCTTAAAGGCATATCTTAATTAACAATTGTCTCCCTTGCTTTTTCAAAAAGTGTATTTGATAAATGAACTAAATGTCCAAGGTTATATCATATGTATACGGCTAACATATATTTTATAGAAAAGCATTCAAATAAAGTCTTAAAATGGATCAAGACTGCATAGACATATTTTCTCCTCTTTGAGGACTTTAGAGCAAAATGTTAGCCTAAAAATCTCTGAAGAAGAGAAAATGGTCCCAAGTACAATTTTGAGCTGCTCCCTTTGCAGATTCAAACCCACTATATAACATTTGTGCTTGCTGGATTTCTGGAGAATGCAGTTACGCTGCCTCATCAACAGAATGTACTGCCTGATCTTGGCAAGTATTATTTCTGCCTTTCATTTTTTGAGTCTAGAGCAAAGTTTCTCAAACTGTGCTCCTTCAGATGTTTTTGATTTCAACTCCCACAATTTCTAATAGCTGGTAAGCTGGTTGGGATTTCTGGGAGCTGAAGTGCAAAACACCTGGAGGAGCACAGCTTGAGAAACACTAGTCTAGGGCAATGGGAAATGGACCCAGTTTCGAAGATTTGGCAAAGCTGGACATGCAGAAGAACACAGCAGACCTGGTGCTACTTTATCACAAACTACTACAACTGTAACATGTTCTAATTGATGTTGTAGAAGACACAGTAAGAAATGTCTTTTTAGAATTGAGCTGCTGATTTTGATTGCTTTTGCTATTACAAATTAATGACGTATATTTGAGATTTAAAGACAGCCATTCAATTTAAATATCCGGTTTCCTTCACAGCTATGCTAACAAAAACTGCATTTGATTGGCTTTAGCTACGGCTGTTTCTCTTAGCCCCTGGTATTCATACCAGATGCCATGGGTTAAAAGTTATTTGGAAGCAATTTCAATACTAAATTGATAGGAGAAGAGAGAAAGAAACAGTGACTTACCAAACACTAAATGCCTTTCAGCACAAGCACTATTACAGCCCAGGAAGCATTAAAGGCAGTTGCATAGAAAATAATGGTGGTTTTTGGTGTTTCCTTCAGGTCTGCAGCCTTTGTTCTTTTCTTGTCCTGAATTCCTAAATGGATGTGACACAGACCTCTGTCATATTATTCACAACATAATGAAGTCTCATACTAAATGCTCCTGCAGTTCATGGCAATACTGTTGTGGAAATCTTGTTGCTCTGGCTAAGCTTTTAATATCATAGTCCAGTGGCACACATATTGTGTAAACCAGTGTACTATAAGGCATTTGTAATGAAACAGCTATAGCTTTTCACATTACTGTTAATGCACGGCCTTAAAGTTTGTAAAGTTCATCAAAGTTTTGTCATAGCCAGATCTCTTTTTGGTTCAGCAGATGTAATCATACATACAGAGATTCTGCACAAATTACCAGTAACTTCATCAGAAAGAATGGGATCTTAAAATCAGTACTAAATTGGGCAAACTCCCCTAAACTCCCAGTGGATTGGCTCAAAATAGTATTCACTTTAAAATCAGTGCACAGTTTGGTTTGTTGCTAAAGTAATTTGTGTTAGAGAACATACCCCTCCTCTCTAAAGCAACATAAACCTTAGTCTGTGGCATAGACAACATTTTTAAATTGGTAAGAACTATAGAAGATTTACACAACACCATGAAGTAGATGGAAGTCAAAAAGTTCTTTATTATTATTATTATTATTAACATTTTTCTTCTTTTTATCTCTCTATATCTTTTTTCTTTCTCTTTTTCTCCTCTCCTCTCCTCTTATTTTTTTTCTCTTTACTTTATAAAATTATTATTATTATTTAAAACCCTTC